ACCAATAAATAAAGAAGTAGTTCATTCTGTTGTAATAACTCTGCCACTAACTGCAGTATTTTTCATATACAACCTATACTGGAAATTTTAATGTTTAAACTAAGAAGTTCAAACATCATATACAATTGACAAACAGAATATGGACAGGCATATATAGTTTTTTGTCTAATAGTTCAATTGCTGCTGTATGCTAGAGAATATCGGACAAAACGTTTCTGTTATACTAGCAACAGAGCCAATATTAGTAAAATAAACATAATCTCCAAAAATGAAGTCTCAAAGAACATTTGACTTTTTGATAACTGAAAACTTTGCAGAAACTTTCTTTCTTCAACCAGATGGGAGGAACAACTCTGGGATGGTGGCCCCTTTTTCTGTCTTGGTTTCCATAAACTAGCAAGAAAGCTAGCTAGCCTATTGTCCATGCATTTCTTTGGTGTGTGCTCTGTAAGGAACTGCAGAAATAGCAGTAGGCTATTTGCTGATTTTTAAGAAGGCATTATCCGATTTAAATGATTAAGAAAAAAGCAACAACTGTCCCATATCTTCTGTAATTGACAAAATTTGAAATGGTATGACTATTATGAGATTTACTAATATAGTAAATCATTAAAATCAAGTTACTCCTCCCGATGAGATGCCGGCCCTACGGACCTGCTGATCCATCCTGCTACACTTCTGGTTGGAGTAGCTTTCATATAGCTTGCATAAAGTTCACCGTGAGATTGCTGTGGATGGTACCACACAGATATGCTACAGATAGCATTGGATGTTTTTACTTGAATAGCCTAAAGACTGCACTTGCTAAAAACAGCTTATGCCCAAGTCCTAATAATTGAACAATGAACAATTTCACTTTGAAGCCATATACTTAAAGTTACAACTCAAATGAAATCAAAAATGATCCTTATGACTCTATAGCATACAGCTGTGGATGAGACTCATAATTGTACTGGTGTCACCTAGAAGAGTCTGGTTCCTCTCAAGGGTTCTTCCTTATGTCATCTCAAGGAGTTTTCCTTCCCACCGACACCTCTGCCTTGCTCATTAGGGACAAATTTAAATCTATATCGAGATTTCTGTAAAGTTGCTTAGTGGCAATGTCCATTGTTAAAAGTGCTATATAAATAAAATTGAATTGAACTGAACTGCAATTACAATTACAAATGTAGCTCAGGCATACCTTTGTCCTCTTGACTTGACTTCTCAATGGCCTGTGGCTAACCTTTGGGCAGTGGTGTCTCAATGGTTAAAGGCTTTGGGTTACTGATCAGAGGGTCAGGGGGTTCAAGCCCCAGCACTGCCAGTCTGCCACTGTTGGGCCCTTGTGCCCTTAACCCTATCTGCTCCAGGGGTGCTGTATCATGGCTGACCCTGTGCTCTGACAAGCTAGGATATGCAAAGAAAATGTATAAGTGACAAATAAAGGCTTTTTCTTTTGAAAGAGATTATTTGTTACTCCTCAGACAATGGTCTGGTCAGCAAGTCCATGGGGTTGCAAACTCTGGCCAGGATGTGTTTTCATGAGATAATTCAAAGCTGTGATACATATATGTCCCAAGAATTATGTATATCATTGAGGCAGGCTTGAATCAGTTTTTAGGGTTAGTGTTTGGTTGGGCGTGGTAAGAGGTTGTAATTTGATGTTTACAGCGGCAAGAAAGCTATTGAACATTGCCTGAAACCCCCCACAAGAGACTGAAATATATTTCTGCTCAGGGTTTAATGAGCTGAACTGATATGGCATTGGAGACCAAGAGGTCTTTTAGTTATAAGCAATCACCTGTATTCTGGGTGCCACTCACTGTACTGATTGGTCCAGATACGATAATCAAGGCTCTGAATATAAAAACCATACCAAGGATCATAAGTTAAGACATCTGGCTCAGGATCACAAAAATACCCATCTCAGGCAGCAGAGGCATAATGGAGGAGCTATCAGCATATTCCCGAGTTCCTTCTGCTGGGTTTCCATGGGCTTGGCCCCTCCTCCGGTACACATTCTCTGTATAGTAAGCACACTTGGTGAATTGTGGCATTAAGGTAAGGCTATTTCTCAAAGAAGGTATTAACAACATATATTAAAACAATACAAAAATTTATTTCCTTTGTTGCCATGATAAAGTGTCAACACATGGAATGCTTGTTCTTGCAAGTAAAACATGACTATACAGGATATGTTCTGTAGTCTGGTACTCTAAGTTTATTAGTCTTGCCAACACAATACAACCATTGTTCCTAGTTTTCAAATCTTTTATTTAATACAATAAAGGAAGATAATTTCCAAAACAGCAAATACATTTCTCACAGGGCTTTACATAATATCTGGACACAAACATGTGAAGTAACGAAACTTCTGTCAGAACAAAAATAACGTAACCATTACATCAGCAGGTAGTAACAAGAACATCATTATGGTAGGCACGGTTGCATATCATTTCTACTCATTAAGTGAATACCAAATCCAAGGATGGGTATTCATTCAATCATTCCTTTGTTTATGTTTATTTCCATGCAAATACTTATTACAAGTAAGAAAAATAGACAGAATTGGTAAGTCTTTAAGTTAAATAATCTCACTCTCCTTAGTTTTCATAGCTTTATAAAATGCAGTGAAACTCATCAATTAATCGGTCTTAAATGTCAGATGACCTCAAATGACTTTTTTTCACAAGTAGTTTTTAATAAGGTGCTCAACCTCTTTTGTCTGGCAATACTATTTTTGTTTTCCATAAATATATAGCATGATGCAATACAAAATAAATCATATTAGAATTAAGAAGCAGTATGCAATGAAATAACACATTTTAATCATTTTTTCATTATTAATGCATATACTCATCATCACTACAATCAGAATCATCTGCTTCCACTTCACCCTCAATCACTGACTTCTTTGTTCTGCAGCATGACACCATCATACCAATGAGGAACACCTAAGAACCAATGAATTTTAATCAATAGCATCGTTAGGTGGTGCTGTATAATACATAATGCATTTCTAAATGTTATCTAACATTCATTAGTGTTAACTTGTTTACTTTTATAATGACAAAGAATCATGGATAAACTTTGTAGATTCAATAAGCATCATATACTGTACTTACTGCAAGAAATGCCCAGTTGCCAAAGTAGTAGATAGTGCTGAAGAACCAAAACTTGTGGAGGAAAAGATAAGATCTTGTCACTGTGCACTGGTCTGTAACAAAATATGAATCAACCCTTTAGGACTTTGAAAACCAGTAATGTATACAAAGCATCAGGCAGTTGAAAAGTTACCATATACAATTACCATAAAATGGTCAATTAAACTGAATGAAGACATCAAGAATGAACAACTATAACAAACAACAGTATCAGGTTTCCCATACCATTTGAATGAATTATCAGACCAATCAGACCAATCTATTGTTAGCCTGTACTGTGCCTGTTTATTGGCTGAAATAATTCATGTTCAGCAGTAGAAGTGGTCGGTATGAGCCAGAGCAAAGAACTGGAGCTGCAACAACTAATTGACAAAACTTTTTAAATAAAAATAATAAAACAAATTTAGTTATTGATTAGCTGGTTACTGATTACTTCAAATGCTGTTCATAGACTTCAGTTAAGCATTCAGCACAATCTTTCCTCAGCACTTGCTTGGAAAGCTGAACCTGCTGGGCCTGAACACCTCTCTCTGCAACTGGATCCTGGACTTTCTGACTGGGAGACCTCAGTCAGTCCGGATCAGGAGCAGCATCTCCAACACCACCACAGTGGGCACTGGGGCCGCCCAGGGCTGTGTGCTCACTACTATGTAGCAATTCACAGCTTGAATCACATCATCAAGTTCGCCAATGCCACGACCGTGGTGGGTCTCATAAGCAAGAATGACAGGTCAGCAAACAGAGAGAAGGTGCAGCGGTTAATGGACTGGTGTAGAGACAACAACCTGTCTCTGAACATAGACAAATCAAAAGAGATGGTTGTTGACTTCAGGAGGGCACTGAGCAACCACTCTCTGCTGAACACTCTCTGCTTAGTGTTCACCTGGCGGAGAACCTCACCTGGTCCCTCAACACCAGCTCCATAACCAAGAAATCCCAGCAGCATCTCTACTTTCTTGTGAAGGCTGAGAAAAGCCCATCTCCCACCCCCCATCCTCACCACATTCTACAATGGGACTATCAAGAGCATCCTGAGCAGCTGCATCACTGCCAGGTTTGTAAATTGCACCGTCTGTGATCACAAGAACCTGCAGCGGATAGTGAGGACAACTGAGAAGATCACCGGGGTCTCTCTTCTCTCCATCATAGATATTTGCACCACATTCTGAATCCGCAAAGCTACCAGTATTGTGGATGACTCCAAGCACCCCTCAAACAAACTCTTCACCCTCCTGTTGTCTGGCAAAAGGTACCAAAGTATTCGGGCCGTCACGGCCAGTCTGTGTAATGGTTTCTTCCCCCAAGCCATCAGACTCCTCAATACTCAGAGACTGGACCGACAACACACACTCAGCTGAACACTAGATGGATGCAAGTGCAGTTTGAAGTGTTTATTGAGAGGCAGGCAGACAAATCCAAAAACGAAGGCAGAGACAGTATCCAAAAACAGGCATGGGTCAGACGATGAAAAAAATGAGCAAACTAGGCAAAACAAACAAGAGAAACAAGAAACAGGTGAGAAGTTTAAAAAAAAAAAAAAAAAAAGAAAGAAACAAGAAACACTGGAAAAATGGCTTGGTAATTTAAATATACAAACTAATTAAAGGGAAAACAGAAACAGGTGAGAACGATGATGACACATAGCAGAGACAACCAATGACCAGGCATGGGTGGAGACAGGACATGAACCAAAACGAGACACACATGTCAAAGTAAACAAAGTCCTGTCAACCCGGAAGCCGTGCTGTCGCGCTGCAGTCAGTTTAAGCGTACTGAGCACTCCGGCAATCAGCACGAGAGGGAAATACCTGACACGACAGTCCTTATCTGGCTGCTACCCCAATAACTTTGGGGGCAGTCATGGCCTAAAAGTTAGAGCGTTGGACTTCTAACCCGAAGGTAGTGGGTTCAAGTCTCAGGCTGGCAGGGATTGTAGGTGGGGGGAGTGAATGACCAGCGCTCTCTTCCACCCTCAATACCACGACTGAGGTGAGACCCTTGAGCAAAGCACCGCAGCAAAAAAGGCTCCGGGTGTGTGTTCACTACTGTGTGTGCGCACTTGGATGGGTTAAATGCAGAGCACAAATTCCGAGTATAGGTCATCATACTTGGCCACAAGTCACTTCACTTCAACTGCTACAGTGGATATAAAAAGTTAAAACAGACCCCTGTTAAAATGCCAGGCTTCTGTGATGTAAAAAAAAAAAAAAAAAAAAAAGAGACCAAGATAAATAATTTCAGAAATTTTCCCCACCTTACCTATAACCTGTATAACTCAATTGAAAAACAAACTGAAATCTTTTAGGTTGGGCGAGTAAAAATAAAAAACCAAAATAATGTGGTTGCATAAGTGTGCACACCCTTAAACTAATACTTTGTTGAAGCACCTTTTGATTTTATTACAGCACTCAGTCTTTTTGGGTATGAGTCTATCAGCATGGCACATCTTGACTTGGCAATATTCGCCCACTCGTCATTACAAAAAAGCTCCAAATCTGTCAGGTTGCGAGTGCATCTCCTGTGCATGGCCCTCTTCAGATCACCCAACAGATTTTCAATCTGATTCAGGTCTGGGCTCTGGCTGGGCCATTCCAAAACTTTAATCTTCTTCTGGTGAAGACATTCTTTTGTTGATTTGGATGTATGCTTTAGGTCATTGTCATGCTGAAAGATGAAGTTCTTCTTCTTGCAGAAGCCTGAAGGTTTTGTGCCAATATTGACTGGCATTTGGAACTGTTCATAATTTCCTCCACCTTGACTAAGGCCCCAGTTCCAGCTGAAGAAAAACAGCCCCAAAGCATGATGCTGCCACCACCATGCTTCACTGTGGGTATGGTGTTCTTCTGGTGATGTGCAGTGTTCTTTTTGCGCCAAACATACCTTTTGGAATTATGGCCAAAAAGTTCAACCTTGGTTTCATCAGACCATAACACATTTTCCCACATGCTTTTGGGAGACTTCAAATGTGTTTTTGCAAAATTTAGCCGGGCTTGAATGTTTTTCTTTGTAAGAAAAGGCTTCCGTCTTGCCACCCTACCCCATAGCCCAGACATGTGAAGAATACGGGAGATTGTTGTCACATGTACTACACAGCCAGTACTTGCCAGGAATTCCTGCAGCTCCTTTAATGTTGCTGTAGGACTCTTGGCAGCCTCCCTGACCAGTTTTCTTCTTGTCTTTTCATCTATTTTGGAGGGACGTCCAGTTCTTGGTAATATCGCTGTTGCGCCACATTTTCTCCACTTGATGATGATGGTCTTCACTGTGTTCCATCTAATGCCTTGGAAATTCTTTTCTACCCTTCTCCTGACTGATACTTTTTAATAATCAGATCCCTCTGATGCTGTGGAAGCTCTCTATGGACCATGGCTTTTGCTGTAAGATGCGACTAAGAAAATGTCAGGAACAGAAACAGCTGAACTTTACTTGGGGTTAATCAGAGGCAGTTTAAATGATGGCAGGTATGTACTGACTTCTGTTTAACTTGAGTTTGAATGTGATTGCTTAATTCTGAACACAGCCACATCCCCAGATATAAGAGGGTGTGCACACTTATGCAACCACATTATTTTGTTTCTTTATTTTGCACTTTATGTAGTGTCATATAGCTCTGTGTTGTTTTATGTAGCACCATGGTCCTGGAGGAACACTGTTTCGTTTCACTGTGTACTAACTAGATGTATATGGTTGAAATGACAATAAAACCACTTGACTTGGACTGTGGTATGAAGCACTTTGAGGAATGCTGTGTCACTTCCCTAGACTACTACTAATACTACTACTACTACTACTACTACTAATAATAATAATAAGAATTATTATTATTATATTAGTAGTAGTAGTAGTAGTAGAAGTAGCAGTAGTATTTACATTTATAGCATTTAGCAAACACTCTTATCCAGAATAGCTTACAGAAGTGCTTTGTAGTCTTTATCAAAAATAAATCTTCATGCTAGTTCACTAGTGTAAAAACCCTGCTGAAGAGGTTAGTATACCATGAAAAGAAAACACAAGACAATGTTGTTGTTTTTTTTAAATACTAGATAAAGTGCTAATTCAACAGCTTGGTGAAGATCCAATTGAGTTTTTCTAAAGACTCGGAGGGAGAGTGGTGCAGCTGTGATAAGTGCTTTAATGTAGGCTGGCACTAGTCTGTCTTTACTTTGTAGATAAGCTTCAGTATTTTAAATCTGATGTGGGCAGCTACAGAAAGCCAGTGGAGGGAGTGTAGCAAAGGGGTGGTGTGTGAGAACTTTGTGCACGCAGCGGCAGACCTGCAAATGACAAGGGACTGAACAAGCACTTGAGTGGCCTCTGTGTATAGAAACAGCCAGATCCTCCTGATGAAGGAGAAACCCGCATGACTGTGTCAGTTTAGTGATGTGAGGTGAAAAGCATTGATAATGAGAATGAGTTGAGTGTCATCAGAATGGCAGTGGTATGAAACCTCATATGAGGATATAATCTCACCAAGAGAGCAGGTAAAGAGGGAGGGCTTGGCACAGAGCCTTGTGGGACACCAGTGGAGAGTCTGGGACGTGAATGTACTGTAGTGTATGTGTGACATACTTTCTTCTTTCATCTCTAGAAATGAATGAGTAGAAACAAGTAGAACTCAGCGCCAACGGGGATGCCTCTATTGCTAAGATGTTACTAAGAAGTTCTTGTTACTAATTTGTATGCCTGAAATACCCTTAAAATATATTTCAAGCTATTGAAGAAAACAAATTTCAGACTATTCCTTATAAATCCTACAATCAACCACTCATTCTTGAGACAGTGAGAACCTCAGATGGATGCACAAATGGAAAACATAAAAAGCTGGTTGCCTCAGGGGCAAGAAAAGAAGAGCGGGAGCTGACATGAATTGCACTAATATTTCATTCCACTGGTCTACCTAATGAAGGTTGACTGAACTTGAAAATGCTTGGTCAGTGAAGTTCAGTGAAAATCATTACAGTTATCTGCACTACAGTAAAGCAAATCAAGATATGGTATGCAGGGGTGAAAAGATAACCATTTCATACCTTCTCTATAGAGGAAAAAACAAACCTGTCGTGCTAAGGGCTCTGGCTCTTGATACAAGTCATCCCAGCACTACTGCAGAAATAGGTGGCTCTTCTGAAATTACACAATATAGAGATTTCACCTTTATTTTCCTTGTTGAGTAAGCACTGGATCTCGTTGAAAAGAGACGTGTCTATCTCCCTTTCTCTCTTTCTCTGTCTCTCCATACCTCTCTTCTGTCTGCCAACTGCAGCTGTTAATCTGAATTACAGATCCAGCCAAGCCTCTCACAGATGGTTCTCAACAGTAGTCTGACTAAACAAATTATCATGTACACCACTGACCTCCTTCACCTTCAATAGGTCAGTCCTTACAGAGACAACCAAGCTAGGTGAGCCAGAACGTCAATAACAATGATAATTAGTATGTTATGGGGTCAGATATTCCCAAATACATGAGCAACACAGGCCAAGAGACAGCATTCAAGTTAAAAAAAAAAACAGTCTGATTGAAAGAGATAAGAGACTCCTTCATGATGGAGACAGACAGACAGACAGACAGACAGACAGACTCTGCTGGGCAACAGGTAGAAGGAACTATCACAAAGTGTGCATGAGCTGGAGAAAGTGTTCAATTTTCACAATTAAGAACAACTGATTTCTATGTATATTATCCAACTCAACAGGGTCGCAAAAAATGTGTGGGGAAGAAAAGGTGCAAGTTGACTGCAAAAGAATAAAACATGAGGTTACCAGGAACCGGTTAGCCTCCTATGCCAAAATATTTCAGAACTGCAACCTTCCAGAAGTGTCCAGAAGTACAAGATATCAAGTGCTCAGAAACTTGGCTAAGGCTGAAACACAACTACCACTGAATAAGACTCGCAAGCTGAAATGTCATGACTAGGCCAAGAAATACCTGAAGACCAATTTCTCAAAGGTTTCATGGACAGATGAAAAGAGAGTTAGATGGACCAGCAAGGTAGAGGAGGGGTACTGCTGTGGGCTGGTATCATTAATGATGAGCTAGACCTTTTTGGGTTGAAGATAGACTGAAAATCAACTCCCAAACCTACAGCCAGTTACCAGAAAGCACGTCAAGCAGTGGTACAGAAAGAAGTCAGCAACATTCAAGAAGGCTTAATCTTTATGCAGGACAATGCTCCATCACATACAAGGTACACCACTTCTTGCCTAGCCAGAAAAGGCGTCAAAGACATCAAGATGATCGAATGATGACTTGGCCCCCTTCCTCACCTGACTTAAATCCTATTGAGAACTTCTGGGCCATTCTCAAGCGTGACATTTACAGTGAAGGAAGACAATCCACCTCTTTGAACAGCCTTTGGGAGCCTGTGGTGGCGGTGTCAGCTAAAATTGATCGTGAACAGATCAAGAAACTGACAGATCCATTGGATGGAAGGCAGTGACAGTTATTGAAAAGAAGGGTGGCTATATTTATCACTGAATATTTTTGAAGGGCCAAAATTGTTTTTTTGTTAATTGTTACGTTACTTTATTTTATTTATTTTAAATTTAGTTGCCTAATATTTGTGCACACTAAAAGTTGCCTAATAACTGTGTATGCTACTAATTTCCCCTGAAAAAGACAAATCTTATTTTTCTTTGTTAATTCTATTTTGATGTGAAATAAACATTTAGGATCAACTGAGACCATTGTATTTGTTCACCAATAAAATTAAGATGAGAAATACCATTTGCCTAATAATTGTGCACACACTTTCTACAGCAGCTCCTTGTGCTACACTACCAACATTAGTTTCCTCTAAATCTGAGAAAATTTTCATTGCAAATTCTGAGCAGGCATTAATATGTGCATGATGGGAACAAGACCCACACACACACCACAGTCAAAAATGAAGGGAAGTTGTCGCCACTATTGTACACTGTCAGAACACAGGT